TTACACAGTTATTTCAGGCATGTAGCATGCCTGGTCTGAGAATTTCAAGGTAGTATTTTGTATGATATGCTCTTCAGCTGCAGAGAATCACAATGTGCTTTACAACTGGTTTCTACTTCATGCACTCTTGCATGGATTCACTCATCCTGGTAGTCTTTAGAAATCTTAAAGTACATTGACATTTTTTTAAAATTCATAACTGGGAAGACATTGTTTGATGTCTGAGGTCTTCTTAAGTTGAGGTAGATGAAGTTCAACTTTAGTCGGAGTGCGAGTGGAGTACAATGTTGCGTAATGGATCAACTATGCTTATATATGCTTCGTGATTGTTAAAGTCCATCGCCATCAGTATGTACCCATGCTGAAGGTGAATTTCTTTTCCAAGATATACAACTGTGACCAGGGAATTGCAGCAGGCCCACAAAACCTTGTCATTCAATCTTCAAAGCAACTCAAACTCTCTTATTCATTTCTTGATACTTCCTGTTTGCATTTCATGTGCCTGAAGGCATGCACAAGGCATTTGTGATATTTCATTATGAATAAATCTTAACAACATTAAGTTATTTTAATATCATTAATCTTAATTAATTGTTTGATTAGCAACTTAATGAGATCATGGATTTAAAAATTATACATGGCTGCAAATCTCCATGATGCATACCTATTAGGTTCACAGAGACAAACTCACCTCAACAACACCCTGGTGGTCAAAATGGTAGATTAATTGTTCAGGTTGATAAATAATTTGACATGTCACAAAAATGGTTATGTTATACCTGGGTGTTTGATGTTAATAAAGCTCTGACATTTGAAAACAGGGACAAAATTTTAAATGATTTGAAAACAATCTTAAACTCATACAGAGATAGTGGGAACTGCTGATACTGGAGAATCTGAGATAACAAGGTGTAGAGCTGGATGAACACAGGTTTGTTATTATTTATCATTGTTGTAATTCCAAGTATCTCAGCTATTTTAGTTCTTTTGAGATGGTTGAAAACCAACTCAACATGTTCGGTCCTCATTTGAACAACTTTGGTAACTTACAATTTGATCAGGATTCAGTAAGGAATAAATTTGCTCGAATGCCGTTCAATTAAACATTGAGAAGACTGAAATAATCTGTTTTGGATCCCACTCCAAACTCTGTTCCTTAGTTACTGACTCCATCCATTCCCTGCTAACTTTCTGAGATTAAGATGGTTTGTTCACAACCTTGGTGTTACATTTGACCCTAAAATGAGAACTGGACTTCAAACTACCATCATCACTAATCTATTCCTACTTACATAACATTGCTCAACTTTGTCCCTGCCTCAATTTATCTGATGCTGGAACCCATAATTATGTCTTTGTTAACTCTAGACTTAAATGGATTGCTGCCCTTCCCCTATCTGTACTTGTTGATTGGTCCTTGTTGAACCCAATGTCTTGATTTTAAAATTCTCATCTTTGCTTTCAAGTCCCTTTCCAGCTTTACCCCACCCTATCTCTTTTGTCATGCTCTTCAATTTATCATAAATGTATTGCTAGTAAAGCAATAATACGGTTTCTTTATTAGAAGATAAGTCTATTTAAATAGAGTTAACTGGGAGGCTGTGTTTGCATATGTGACTTCTTTACTGTTGCTGCATTCTTGGTACAGAGTCATGGGACCACTGTATCATATCCTGTTTATAACTAAGTAATAGAATGATAGAATTTTACAGAAAGAGGCCATTAGACCACTGTGCCATGTACCAGCTCCCAAAAGAGCTACCAAGCTAGTCCCATTCTCCAGCCCTATCATCACTTTCAATAATGATTAACAGCATACAGTCATAGAGATACACAGCTCAGAAACAGACCCTTCGGTCCAACTCATTCATGATGACCAGATGTCCTAAATTAATCTAGTCCCATTTGCCGGCATTTGGCCCAAATCCCTCTAAATCCTTCCTAATCATATACCCATCCAGATGCCTTTTAAATGTTGTAATTTTAGCAGCCTCCACCACTTCTTCTGGTAGCTCATTCCATACACATCCTTCCTGTAGCAGGGAGACAAGAAGTGCATGCAGTATTCCAATAGTGGCCTAACCAATGTCCTGTACAGCTGTAACATGACCTCCCAATTCCTATACTCAATGCGCTGACCAATAAAGGCAAGCATACCAAATGCCTTCTTCACTATCCCATCTACCTGTGACTCCACTTTCAAGGGACCATGAACGTGCACTCCAAGGTCTCTTTGTTCAGCAACACTCACCAGGACATTAACATGAAGTGTGTAAATCCTGCCCTGATTTGCCTTTCCAAAATGCAGCATCTCACATTTATCTAAATTAAACTCCATCTGTCACTGCTCAGCGCATTGGCTCATCTGATCAAGATCCTGTTGTACTCTGAGGTAACCTTCTTCGCTGTCAGTTTAAGATTTATGCCCTGAAAGGTGCATGTGCATCATTTCACAACATCTGTAATCTCCTTCAGCTGTAAAATCCTCTAGGATATCTGTTGGCCTCTTGAGCATTCCTAATTTTAATTGATTCACCATTGTTGGTTGTACTTTCAGCTACTTGGGCCCCAAGTTCTACAATACCCTCCAGACACTCCTCAGCCTCCCTTTTCTCCTTTAAGATTCTTATTAAAATGTGCCTCTATAATCGAGCTTTTAGTTGCCTGATCTAATATTTTAGAATATAGTTTGATGTCTTTTTTTTTTGTAATTCGTCTGCAAAGTACCTTGGAATTTATTAGAAGTTCTTTCTGTTGTTGTGCCAAGATATGGAAATTGACTATATTTTAAAACCCAAGCAAAAGTTCAAAGAAGGAGGCAATTGAAAACATAAAGAGGTCAACAGTATTCACTGCACTTAAGTTCATGTCAGTATAACTACAACAAATCAAGACAAGAGACTTTATTAACAAGGATCAAAAAGTATCTCCCTGATGTCTTTTGATCAACAGCTGTCTCTGGAGGTGAGAACTGGTATGTGCAGCTTATCAGTAATGAACAAATGAATCCAGTCAACCATGTTGCTGTAGTGCCACATGAGGATATCCATTTACAAGGTTTAATTTTTAAGGAAAGAAAAATGAGAATGTTACATCTAGTGGGAGAAAATGGGCAGTAGAATTTTTCACACTGTAGGGATTCTGTTTTAGAATGGAGAAGACCAGATGTAGGTGAGGAATTATTTGGTTCAGGAAAGCCTTCTCTACAATGGGAGGGGAAGAAAAGTACAGATTTTCACAGCCTAAGCAGCATTCAGATCTGTAGGACACATCGAAGGGTTCACCTGAGATTACTAGGAGTAGTTTCTCTCCTATCACAATAGTTCTGAACTGTTGAGAAAGACAAGGAGAACATGCGAACTCTCTTGAGCCATCCTCCTTATTTTGTCTTCCATGCTGAAAGAAATGGCAATGCCACCTGTCCCCAGAGAACCACAATGAAAACTGCAAACTGCAGGGGCTGGATTAATTGTCAATTTGGATGGCTACAGGAAGATCCAAGACATATTACAATGAGCTGAGAGCAGTTGTGATACTTGTCTTAGAGCTGATCTTTGCATAATCTTTTCAATGTGACTTTAGTAAAGGGTCATCCAAGGAAGTATGACTTTGTAGGTCAATTCCTCCGCACAAACTCAAATACACTAGTTTCCTGTTGAGGCCATTGTAACTTAAAGCCATCATTCATTTACATCAAATTGCTTGGGCATTGTGCTCGGGGCGGCATGGTGGCTCAGTGGATAGCACTGTTGCCTCACAGTGCCAGGCACCCGAGTTCAACTCCATCCTCGGGTGACTGTCTGTGTGGAGTTTGCGCATTCTCACCATATCTGCATGTGTTTCCTCTGGGTGCCTCTGGTTTCCTCCCATAGTCCAAAGATGTGCAGGTTAGGCGGATTGATCATGCTAAATTGCCCACAGTGTTCAGGGAAGAGTAGGCTTGGTGGGTTAAAGAGGGATGGGTCTGGGTGGGATGCTCTGAGGGTCAGTGTGGACTTGTTGGGCCGAAGGTCCTGTTTCCACACTGTAGGGATTCTATGATTCTACGATAAACTGGCCATGCAGATTGCCCACACAGTGTTGAGCCTGGTGGATGTTCTACATAGAACGATGTAGAAAAGCTTAAGTACCTCTGTAATGACCTAAACAAAGTACCCAATTAAGATGGTGTGCCACCACATTATCAATGACAGATAGGGATAGGCAATAAATGGTCTGCTAGCTGTACCTAAACCTGATGAAAGAATAAAAAATATCTGCTGAGTTTCAGAGCTATGTGATTTTATCTTTTCTTAGATACCTTGTTGAAATGGACATTCAGAATGGGTACTAGTTTATTGCCGCCATTGTCAGGTGTGGTCCTCCTCTACTGGTGGCTATGGACATCAAATGGGAAGTATGCTGTTGCTTGCCTTGTGTGCTAGAACAATTACCGAGCACACTTAAGACTGGAGCTTGATGTGGAGAACTATTGAGGTGTGAAGGATCAGAAAGTCTGGCAACACCTTACAATTCTGTTAATGAAATTTCTAATCAATCAAAACTTCATATGCAGGGAAGACAAAGCTGGTGTAACTCCTTAACACCATGGTTAAAACATAGATTTCTGATCTTATGCTCACAGTGGGAAGCCTCACCCACTCATTGCTTTGATTAGGTACTTGAGCACAATCCTAGTGAGTGAGGCTACCTACCATGAGCACAATGTAAGTATCTTTAACACGATTGTGCAGGAAAGTGTTCTCTCTGATTTCCTTGAGTGTTAATCACTTGAAAGAGAAGGAGACTGGACGGTGTGCTGTGCATTATGAAATTTGAGCCTGTCGAATTATCATCCTCTTAAATAAATTTGTAAACAATACCGTCTCCTTTCTTCCTGATCCTAGTTTCTAACACAATACCATCTCACATTGTTAACTGTTTAATTAAAGCAATAGTAGCTCATTTCAATCTGGACATTAACTTTCAGGTACTTTATTTTCATCTGTTTTGTTTTACAGCAAACCTTGACCAAGAAAACACAGACAGCCTTGACAATTGGTCCTTCAAAGCCCCAGGATCAGATTTCACTGATATTGACTTGATGAACTGAGTCATTTCAGAGTGATTTGCATGTTCCCATCAGAATACTCCTTGAGGATCAGTGAACTCATGTTCCTCTGATGCAAATGTTAGCCCTTCTGATCTGTTGAGGATTCGCTTTTGGTCTAATGCTGCATGTATTATATTCTAGCATAAATAAAATGATGTATGATTTTCTTGTATAGAAGTACAATACATACAAAACTTGACATGGAGGGTTCTTCAGAAAAATTTTTGCGAAATTCCAGGGTGACATATTGAGACAGATACTTCAGTTCTAGTGCCTTGGTGGATTGGGTGATGAAAATTGGGAGATTGATGCAAGATTGAAAGTCCAGTCAATTTTAGGTAGTTTAATAAATACCCTCAGGTTTATTTTTCAAATTATTATTTTAAACAGATACTCTTATGCTGACGAGCACTGCTGTAATTTCTAAACCTATTGTGCATTACATCTGATGCTTACAGAGTTCGGCTACCCTACATCATTCCTAAATCTAGACCCAGCCATGCCCACTGTAGTTCTTGATCTCCATGTTTGGTTTGCCTTCCACTCACTGTTAAAATTTTCTCCTCCATTTGCTCACTGTAAAAGTGATGCTGTTGACATTTCATTTATTGCCATGCTTATTTTGTGATCCTAGACTCTTCCCATGAGGGGAAGGATTTACCTCTCAGCATTTACCCTGTAAAGTGTCTTAAGAATTCAATACATTTCAATGAGATCACCTTTCATTTTTCTCAGCTCCAGTGAGTAGAGTCCCAACTGGTTTAGCCTTTGATCATTAGGCAATTCCTCCATACCATGGATCATCCTAGTGAACTTTCTCTGAACCGCTGCCAATGAAATGATATTTTTCCTTAAATAAGAAGACCAGAACTGTTCGCAGTACTCCAGTAATGGGGGTCTCACCAGCACCTTGTATAGTCTCAGTAAGACTCTCTACTCTTATACTCCAACACCCTTGAAATATTCCTTAAGCATTCTTTAAGCCTTCCTGATTACCTGCTGCACCTGTGTACTAGCTTTCTGTGCATCGTGTACACATACCCTCAAGTCCCTTTGTGTTGTAGCTTTCTGCAGCTTTTCTCCATTTAAATAATATTCTGCACTTTTGTTCTCCCTACGAAAGTGATCAACTTCACATTTTCCCACATTATAGTCCATTTACTAGAATTTTTCCCACTTACTTAACCTATCAATATTTCTGTGTAAACTGTATCTCTCTTGCAAACTTCCTTTCCATCTATTATTGTGGCATCTGCAAATTTGGCTACTGTGCATTTGCTTCCTTCCTCTAAGTCATTAATATATATTGTAAACAGTCCCAGGACTAATCCTAATGGAATCCCGCCAGTCACGAGTTGCCAGCCTAAAAAAAAATCCCCTTGCTTGAGGGCTGAGAGCTGGTTTAGTATTGAATTGGTCAACTGAGACAGGACTGATGTTGGCCAGCCAACCACTGAGAATGCTAAAATGAAAAAAACAAAAAGAGAAGTGGTTTTGTATGTATTTTGAAAGCAGGACGCAGTGTTGCTTTGGAAGATGCTGGACTGTGTTTTTTTGGTTTTGCCTTCTCTGGTTATTCTACAATTGGATTTATTGAAAGTCCCGAGAAAAGAATCCCAGTCTTATAAGCACTAAGGAGAGGTCTCTAGATGTCTGCACAAGCTCTTTGCATTGTCCAGTGACTTTGAAATTCAAGCAAGGTAAACAGTCCAATGTGCTGTGATACAATCCATCAGATTTCATGAAGTCTTGGTATTCATTGTTGAAATGGATATCGACTGGCAAATTACAATTATATGTTAAAAAATTATCCCTTAATTTTGTCTGTCTCTCTGTCAGTGTATGAATGGGGATTAGTGGTCAAAAAAGATTGGGATTAGATCATAGATTTAATTGGATTGCTTTGTAGTTCATCTGTGTTCTGCTCAATTTACACATTATTAATAATAAAATGTCAATTTTGTTATAACCTTGGTGTTCACGTCTGTTATTTGCTTGGGAACATATTATGCAATTTTGAGAGTCATTGAGTGTTTTATCACTGTGAATCACTGTGATGTGATTCCAGTGTTAGCAACTCTGATTTGCTTTGGTTTGCTATAACTGTGGCATAACAGTTCTCAAGAAATTTGGCTGAATATTAAGCTGTGTTTTATTTGCTTATAAATCATCTTTGGGCAGAATTTTCCCATCCCGGAATGATGTAGGCAATGGCAATTCCATTGTAACAATGGTGAGATATTTAAAAAAGTAAGACTGTCAATGTTGAGAAAAAGGTCTGACTTTCCACCAAAGGTTTTAACGGCGAGAAGAGAATCTGGTTATTGAGTGGTGAGGGGGCCCTTTGCATGCATTAGCATCTCATTATTACCAATCCTCCCCTCATTTATTTGCAATTTACTGTTCTCCCATGAGAAACTAGATGATAACGATTCCTTAGTTGATAGATTGGGTACCTGGTGGCTCCAGCTTGTATCTGGTTTCTCCAGACCTTCATCTTGACCACTCCATGGGCAACAATTGCCTGCAACCTTGATCCACAGACATTGGCATTGGACACACACCAGTGTCACTGCTTCAGCTTGGCACATCTCTGGTTTACTTATAATATGAGTCACCACTTCGTTATTGCACTTCAGAGTACACTGACTATTTTCATTACGGTGCTGTTGTATGGCCCTTTGCATGCAGGAACAGGAACTCCTTTCATGTCTCAGAACAGGGCGTATCTTAGGGTTCTCAGCTTGTTCAATTAACACTTATTCACTTTGTGCTTACTTAGATGCTCACAACAACTTTGCATTGCCTTGCTTTTTGTGCAGGAGCTTAGATACGATCATGCATCTGCTTGGGGTTGTCAGGATCAGGGCTGCAGACTGGGAAGTGAGGCACTGTCATTTCTAGAGTTCCAGTAAGACCAGTTCCAGGGATTAACTGGAGAGTTGCACAGAGATAATTCAGGAGTCTGATCACTCATCATTCAAGACAGTCATCCTTGATCCCATAAAACCCAAAAGCACTGTGGATGCTGTGAATGAGAAACAAAAACAGAAATTGCTGGAAAAGCTCAGCAGGTCTGGCAGCAACTGTGAAGAGAAATCAGAATTAATGTCTTGGGTCCAGTGACCTTTCCTCAGAACTCAAATGGTAGCTAGGAAAATGTCGGCTTTTATGCAGAAGATAGGGTGAGGGGAGGGGGTAAGGAGTAAACGATAGGTGGGGATAGAGCCCAAAGAGAGAGAATAATAGTTAGCCAGACAAAGGAGTGGATAACAACCTGGCTAGGAGGGTAAATAGCTGCTAATGGACACTGTTAGTGGCTAACAATGGGTTGTGTGTAATAGCAGACTATGTGATCACGAGGCCTGACGTGTGGGCATGGGGGCTGGGACATAGGAGAGTTCAACCCCTAAAGTTATTGAGCTCTATATTGAGTCCTGAAGGTTGCAGGGTCTCCAAATGGAAAATGACGTATGGGTCTTCCAGCTTACGCCGAGCTTTGCTGAAACATTGCAGCAAGCCAGTGACAAGAGATATTGGCCAGGGGACAGGGTGGTTTGTTGAATTGGTTGCTCACTGACATCTTCCCATACCCCACATGAATGGTCATTCTCCTCCACAGCTAGCATAACAATCTTTTCCTTGTATGACATTAAAAGCCCTATGTCTGCTGCCTCTCTCAGCACACCTCTAGCAAACTTGGTCCTCTCAGCCTGAAACAAGACAAAAGGGAGTGATTGGGTTGGATGGAAATGGATAGAAGAGTAATTAAAGATGATGCAGGAAGAAGAGAAGTAGTGAGATGAGTAGGAAGCACAGACGGCAGGAAGGGTTTGTAATTTAGGATGATGAGATGTGTGAGAGCGATTGAGTGGGTGTGGTACGTGCACCAGTGTGAGTTGTAGTTGACAAGCCTTGGTGAGAGATGAGTGCCGTGGCAGAGCTAGAGTGAGTGGTGGCCCTGCGAGTACAAGGTAGCAGAGAAAGTACAGAAGATTATTCACCTTCTTCCTACACTGCTGTGCATTATGTTTGTCCCAGGCCACACCACGGACTCAGGCCACCAACTCAGTCCCAGCTCGCTGAGTCTGGTGGCATAGCCCACTTTTGGCATTCTGCAGGGTAAAGAATCATCCTTGTCTCCCCATGCACTAGCATCTCCAAGTCCATATCAGTGAAGCAAAGTGCCAGCTTCCTTTTTGAGTCATATTCTTTGTGATACTGGTTGCGCATTATGGGAGGCTGGCTTGCAGCATCTGAAATGATCTCCAGCTGGACTTAAATATGGTTCCAACAGTACAAAAGGCAAAAGGTCCCAGCAATGGCAAGCGCTTTTCTCTTCCCCACTGTGTGAGGGAGGTAGGCTGCATAAATAATAAAGTGGAGAGAAGAGAAAAGGATTGTGTGGGAAAAATTACTCTCATCCATGATAGAGTGGGGCCATGAATCTCACCTGATTCAATATGGAAAATAGGAAAAATTCAGCGCAATATATTTCTCAACAAAGATGAATTTGTACCATCAACTGAAAGACAATATATTTTGTGTAATGAATTTACAGTAATATATTTCCTTTGAAATCAGTACAAATCAAGACCTCTTTTAGCATTGTATATTATGTGGTGACACTTTTAAACAAAATTCTGTTTGTGCCTTTATGAATTCACTACAAATCTATGTGCAATGCAGTTTAAAATAAATAGCTAAAGCAGTATTAAAAAGAAGGCACAGCATGAATTGCCAATTTGCCTAGAATGACTAGATACTTCAGCTATAAGATTTTATGATCTTTGTCCAATCATCCTGAAAAAGATCTGAAATCACAATAGTAAGATTACCTCGGAAAGACATTCTCCATGAATAAGCACACAATTGAGCAGTCAAAGAGCTTTTAAAGTAAATGATGCATTGACATTGTCAGGCTCTATTTCAGTACTTTAAAAATTTCAGAATATATTAGGGGACATATAGGTTGTCAGTATTGGGAGCTTAAATAGATGTATGGCTGTGGTTTGTTGATCTGTAATTCACAGCGATTGTTGATAAAAACCCAAATAGATTGTTTTGTAGTGAATTTTTACTGATTATTTCATTTGCTTATTATTAAACATGAACACATAATCATTGATAAATTCACAGGTTACATTTTTAAAATATTTTAATCTATTGTGCATTGGAAGTAAGATATTTGATTTTCCAGGGTAGCACTCTCACTCTCCAGCTTTAAGCCTTATTCCAGATCATGAGCACAAAAATCAAAACTGAGATTCTCTGATGCAGGGAACATTGCATCATCCAAACTGCTCAAGAATGAAAGAGCCCCAAACTAAGGCATTCTCTTATTCAAATAGATGTAAAAGATCCCATGGCAATACTTCAAAGAAGAGCAGGAGTTCATCTTGTTGTCCTAAACAATATTTCTTCCTTAACCAAAAGCACAAAAAGCAGATTATCTGGTCATTATTAGTGTTGTTTGAGAGAGTTTACAGAGCGCACAGGAGCTGTCATGTTAACCACATTTCAAAATGTGCTTCGAGACATCTGGTTGTCATAAAAAGTGCTATATAAATGCGAGTCTTTCTTTTACAACCTACTTCAAATGTCAGTTCTCTGAAGAAGGGTCTAGGCCCGAAACGTCAGCCTTCCTGCTCCTCTGATGCTGCTTGGCCTGCTGTGCTCATCCAGCTCTACACCTTGTTATTTCAAATGTCAGTTGCCTTCTTTACTTAGAAGCCGTAAGAGTGAGGGCAAAAGAAATACACAGTTAATCAGGAAACAGCAATAAAACAATCATATATTTGACTTTTAAAAGCCTGTGGATTGTGAAGTGGACAAATGATTGAGTTCCTGTAAAATCTCAATTCGATTAGGATACTGTGGGATCCATTTTGCAGTTAGTGGAAATAAAATTTGTAAGGGTGTTTAAATGTGTGGTCATGTCAATAAAGTGTATTTTACAACACCATCCAAAGTCAAAATATCTCTTAGAGTTTTCAGTAATGATGTTGTTGGATATCTAACTAAAAATTAAGAATATTTGGTATAGTTGTATTAACAGAATAGGGAGGAAAAACATTTCCAACAGAAATACATTGTAAAATAAGAGGTCACAAGCCTTATAGTGTGGTTTATATAACAAAAACATGTCTTTATAAATGGATAAACATCCCAAAATGCTTCACAAAGGTGTAATTAGTCAAAAATGGACAACAGATGTCCTCAGCTCACTGGTCTAAGTTAAATGAGGTCTGAGGCCCAATTTTAATGAGGCTTTAGGCTTTGTTCCCACATGAGAATTATTCTGTGTGCTCAGTTTCCACTGGTGATCAGCGCTGCGCAATTTCCTCCTTGGAGATGACAGTTTACAAATAAGATAACAAAAAGAACAACTAAACAATAAAGAAGTTAATAACCCTAATGTATAACTATTATTGCAAAATAAGTTTTTCAGTGTCCATCTCCTCCATGGAAAGTTGCAACATTTTGTGCAAAACTGAATCTACATCTCTGGTTGGTATTTCACAAATTTGCTGTAAGACTGCCAATGCCCTGAAATAGAGAAGAAAGCTATCTTGATTTGAATCATCTTAAGGTCAATGCATTGTCTGGATTCTTATTTCAAAGAGCTCAGATATAACCTGAATATGAGACATGGCAAAAACCAGAGTCAGCAATTATCATTACAGCCGACAAGACAAATGTTTGCTTGGATATTTGATGACAGCTCAAGTATATATTTGACAGAAATAGTTTGTAGAGCTTTTCATTTGACCTCTCCTAAAATAGATGGCTCTTCACCCACCTTATCTTTTCTAATCTTGCTACAAGTGATTGGCAATGATCTACATGTAAACTGGAGATCTATCTCAGCAAAATCTCAGTCTAGTAAAACTTAGTGTCTAACATTATCATGGTCAGACATAAATGAAGAGATACAATAATTCGTATCATTTTTTTCTCCCCTTTGAC